CACATACCTTCACATCATTCGCCATCTGTTTTCTCTTATCGTTCTTCTACATTCTTCTTTGTTCTGTTTTCGAATAAACAGATTGAGTTTCGTCTCTCGAGCGAAGACAACGCTAATAATATTGATTAAATAAAAATATACCAAAACCTTGACCAAGAACAATTAATAAATAAACTGTTGGTAAATGAAATAAAGTCATAAAAGCGCCCGCTAATAAATAAGTAATGATAGGATTGTTCCTAAATGCTCGTTGTCGAATAAAGACAATTATTGTTAAGATTGCACCAAGCATACCGAAGATGATAATTGGGATTCAAAAAAATAATTTAACCATTGAGATACAATGTAGATTGTTTCTTCGAGTAAAGTCATGTTTAACAAAGTGTTTTTTGTCAAATTTCTGTTTTGTTTATGATGAAGGGAAAAAAGAACTTATCAAAGAAAATAAAGAGATTTGCTCTGACAAGATTTAATTTTAGTATTTAATCTTAATTTTATGACAAGTAAAGAATGGAATTGTTAGTCAAAAATTAAAACTTGTGAATATGATCGAGTTCTTTTTCTAGGAAAAACTGAATGACTGATGACACAGTTTGATACTCAATCGTTATAATTTATTATAATCATATTTAAATAAGGTCATTTTTATTCATTTGTTCATTGGAATTAATCGATTGATATCTAAAAAGAGATACGAATGCATTCTTTTCTTTTCAATACAAAATCCTCATAAAAAACTGTATGCAATTAGGCAACGGATAATGGAATATTTTGAATTGCAGTTTTTCCTCTTGGTGAGATGTGAACTACCCTTTCTTGATGAAGTTGAATTAGGATCAACACCAGATTCACGATGAGTACACACTCAGGGTGGCCAGATCTTCTGAAAAGTAGGAAAAGTTTCTGAAATTTAAGTCTGTTTCTGATTTTTCTTCTGACGTTTTGGTTTCGGAACTTTTTTAAAATTCTATAGAATCATAAACTGCTTCGCTTTACAGCTACACCAAGATGTTAATACTGAGCCATATCTTACCCTTTGTAATTATTAGTAGTTTCTCAAATACACGATCAATTTATCAGCGAAGTTATCATATTTGAATGGATATAATAATAATCTTTGTAATGAAATGAAATTTCTTTGCAAATAAATTATAAATAAACAAACAACATATCAACAGACTACAACTCGATGAACGCTAAATGGTTTGATTTTCGAAATTATAACGATGTAGAATAGCTAGAAGCATTGTAACTGTTTTCATACCACCTCGGATACCATCACAACTCAATTGACAGATTCTAATTGTATTCGACGATTGAGCCATGTGGATAGAAATCTTACCAGAAAAGAATTATATGATGTTGAAAAAGTTCGATATTTAACTTTTGTCAAAAAGAAACATTTTTTATCTTATTTTATAAATGAGAATCTCTCCTTGAGAAATTTCATTTTATTCATTTAAATCAAAATTAATGAGAGAAAACAGATGTTTGTTGAGAATTCAGTGAAAACTTTTGAATTCGATAATTTCCCCAGTCACTAACATAAAGTTCTCCATCTAGATCAAATGCTAGAGTATTGGGAAAGGATAATTGATTCGATGCGTTTCCTGATCCATTTCCACCGGCAATGATTTCGCCTTCTTTCTTTCCTTCATCCCAACGCATTATTCGATGATTAAAATTATCGGACACATAGACTCGACCAAAACGATCAACGGCTACTCCTGTAGGATAATTTAGCTGGTTAAGGCGATTTCCATAACCATTTCCACCAGCAACAACGATCCCTTCTGTAGCATTTTTTTTCCATTTCATCACACGATTATTCAAACAATCTGCGGCATAAATAGATTGTTGATCATCTACAAATATAGATATAATCAAATCAAATTGATTCAATTTATTTCCTTTTCCATGTCCACCAGCTACCAGTATTCCTTTTTTTCCTTTTATTTCGCCAATTTTCCATCGTCTTACTTCATTTTTCTCTGCATCAGAAATATATAAAAATCCATATTTATCAATCGCCAACGAAGAAGCACAGATCCTATTAATTAGAATTTCTTGTTTATTTTGATTGAACCATTGAATAACTCGTTTGTTTCCTTCATCGAAAATGATTAATGAATTACTTCCTTGATCAAATATGACACCTGTTGGTTTAGTTAATTGATTTATTTCATATCCTTCTCCGTATCCACCTGCAATTACTTGTCCTTGTTTTTCATTCGGTTTCCATTTCAGAATACGATGATTTCCCCAATCCGTAATATACATATTCTTATTTTTATCAATAAAGAATCCATGACAATATTTAAATTGATTTAATTCACTTCCAAAATCATTTCCTCCTGCGACAGTTTCGACATTATCTTTCGATTCGAGGAATTTTGTTTCTAAAGAAAATGAAGAAAGTAACTTTTTCCTATACTTTTTGTTTTCAATAAACAAAACGCAAATTTTCGACTTGATTATTCTACAATCTGTCGCTTTTATTCAATAGAAATCATTCAGTTGTTTTACTATATCAATATCGATCATTTTCTCTTTCGTATGGCTTATCCCTTCTAGTTACTTACTAATTGCTAATGGTGGACAGATGGTCTGATTTGTCATCGACAGAGGATAACAAACAGGATTTTCATTACATCGAGAATGATGAACGCATATATGATCGGGTTCAGAACAAACTTGTGATGATCCGCATGGTACTAGTTTTGAACAAAATGTTCGAAGAGACCCACACACACCAATATTGTCAGTTCCAGATATAGGAAGACATCCACAAGCATTATTAGTCGAACATCGATCATACGGCATTGAATTATGACATATTTCAGCATTGACTGAAACTGTTAAACACAATTATAAGCATATAAGATAAAATAAACAACAAACCTATTAAACTGGGAAAGAATTCACTTTATTCCCTTTTCTGAAAGAAAGGGTTATACAGCGGTTAAATACTGGGCTCAAAATGCTTAAAGTTTGTCTGTCTGTCATTCTGTCTGTCATTCTGTCTGTCCAAGCCAATCAGA